TTTATCTCTCCCTGTGCGGTGTGATACTCCTATCCTCTCCCCTTCCTTCTGTGTATATATGGGCATATCCAGAAGTCTATGTGAGTGAGTGTTGGCCTTCAGGCAACGAACAACCAGAATCATAACAGAAAGGTGGTGGGATGAGAAGAGGTCTGGGAACTCCGAGGGGGGCCGCAATGGGACTGCTGGGTCAATCTGTGTGTAGTCTCTGAATACCAAACTGTAGCCTCTCCTGTAGCCTCTCGTGAGCTCCTGCTCCTCGACTGCTGGGTCGATCTGTGTGTAGTCTCTGAATACCAAACTGTAGCCTCTCCTGAGCCCCTGCTCCTCTGGTTCGTCTCTTCCCCCCTGTTGGATGCTGGCAATCCAGCCCCCCTGATCACCTCCCAACCATTCACCAGAGAATCTTTCCATCATCTTTTGGATATCCTTCTTTGTGTGATAGAGGACCAGCTGTATCTTCACTTTTCCCCATTACTCTGTCAGATTGTGGCATACTGCGCACCACACGGGCCTGCAGGGCCCGACCAGGCGGAACAAGGGATAAGTCAGGGCCCTCCAGGCCCGTGTCGTTTCAGCTTAAAAAGGAGGGCCGATGTTAGGCCCTCATAAAGTCGACCTTTCCTGAAACTTAGGTGCCAGACCAGGGATAAGCGCAGGCCATTTTTAGGCCCATTTCACAACAACCTTTTCTTGAACTTGGGCGCCAGGGTCTGGCACGTTTCGGCATTGGCAAGAGCAGCCTCCCAGACCGACCAGCACTGTATAGTACTGGTCCGCCCAGGAGGGCACAGGCAGTTCAGGAGGCAGTCTTCAGGATTTGGCAGCAGCACTCTGCAGGAGAGCTGCAGTAGTAGTAGATAGCGATAGGAGTAGTCTTCAGCGATGGGCGCTGCTAGGACCTTAGAGTAGCGTTGGGAGAGAGGGAAGTGGCGGAGGCCAGGGAGACTTACCAGGGAGCTTACCTGTGGCGCCATAGCTCCAGCTTCGTCTTCGATGTACCTGCAACAAGCTGCCACCTTCACAGGTTAGTACCTG